AATCTTTTATGTTGATTTTTAGTTTATTTTGAATTATGTGACATGAGATGTCATTAATAATTATTTTACTTGCGTAGTAGAATTTGTTAAACCATGAACTATTTTATTAATATGGGGGTGTATCTCCAGTTATAGCATTTTCCTTTGAACTTCTTGCTACTGTCACCTTATTTAGGACCATCTCCAGTAGAATGTATTTGAAAATAAGGAAATTGTAGAGAATCAAAACAAGCATGAGTTGTGATTGGTTAGAAATGATGGGTACAAAGATTTATTTGCTAGAAAAACAAAAAGGGGATACAAAGTCATACTAAATAATTTTTTTTAAATTAAAAGAATTTTTCTTAGTTATGAACAGATTTAACTGAAATCAGCTTGTTTCCCAATGTTATGCTTCATTTATTTAGATAGAAAATATTTTTTAATGAAAAATATTTTTTATAAAAAAAATTAAAAATATATTTTTTATATTTGGTGATGGTGGTGATGGAACGAAGGTGAAAGTAGAGATTGTGACATAGTGGTGGGGTGATGGTGGCAGTGATGATGGTAGTGGCTATGGTGATGATAGTGTGGTAGTGAATGTGAGAATAGTGGTGATGACGTTGTGAAATTAGTAAAAATTTAATTGAAAAAACATTTTTTTTTTTAAATTAACAAACAACAAAATTCGTGGAGGACTAAAGGAAGAAGATGGAGGATGGATTGGGTGTGGTAAGGCATAGATATCTTAAAATGAGTGGTTCAGATTTGTTAAAAGGTATAATTAGATTTTGGATAAATTAAAATGAATGGTTAAAATTTGCTAAAAGAAAAATGGTTTAATATCTAAAATGTCTGTGACTAAGAGATCAACAAACAATTCCTTCTTTATGCCCCGATGCAATTTAATATGGGTCTTATAACACTTTCTTCAAATAGGTTCTTTCACATTTTATTTCTTCAAACAGGCTCTTATAACATTGTAATCAGGTTCTTATAACATGTAGGGGAGAGAGTGAGAGTGAGAGAGAGAGAGAGAGATGGTTGTAATTTTTTTTTTAATCTTCCACGTTCTTCCACATTTTTTTTTCAATTACTAAAACTTATTTGATTGTCTCAAAATTATATATTTGATTATTATAAAAAAACTTTTTAATTAATTAATTAATTAATGTGTATTTGATTTTGTTGTTGAACCAAATAAAATAAAATAAGATTGAATGTATATTTAGCTTTTGTAGTGAACCTTAAAAAAAATAAAAAAGTAATAAAAAAATAAGTTGTTAACATTAAATATATTAAACAAGAAACACTACTAAAATTTTAGTTTTTTGCGACGGTAAAATGCCGTCGCTAATACTCCGAATGCTGTCACAAAAAACTTTTTGCGACGGGAAATGACTTTTTGCGACGGTAAGAGGGGGGTCGCAATTGGGGGCGTTGCAAAAAAGTTTTTGCGACGGTAAAGTGTCGTCGCTAATGTTTTGCGACGGCATATTTTGCCTTTTGCGACGGCACTTTATAGTCGCTAATAATGTTCAAAATTTCTTGACTTTTTGCGACGGCACGATTTTACCGTCGCTAAAAATGTTATTTGAGACGGCAAAAAATATCGTCGCTAATAGTCTTTTTTTTGCAACGGCAAGAACATTGTTTTTGCGACGGTGTGGTGCCGTCGCAAAAAGTATTAAAAATATGAAAATTTCTATTTTTTGCGACAGTGTACTGCTGTCGCAAAAAGTATTAAGAAAATAATAAAATTTCTATTTTAAATAATAAAATTTCTATTTTTTGCGACAATTTAGTGTTGTCGCAAAAAGTAAAACCTGTAACAAAATCAATAAAAATATTAAAATTTTCTATTTTTTGCGACGATGTAATGCCGTCACCAAAAATAAAAAAACATCATGCGATAAAATTATTAAAAATATTAAAATTTCTCCATAATAATTGCATAATAATATAAAAATTTCTATATAAAAATAGCAATTTCTCCATAATAAAATATTCTTCCATTCATAATTACACATCAACAAAATTATCCCACTACATAATGTTCCATAATACATATATAATGTTCAAATACATGATTTTGTTTATAATTCAAAATAACATAAACCAAAATTAATTATTTTTCTCATCATTCTTTGAAGATAACAAAAACAAAAATTATCCACATTCTCCACAGGTATGCATTCCACAAGAAGCACACTCCTACATGGGAAATATCTGAAAAATAAAAATAAAAATAATTAATGACAATATAATTATGTGTTAACGTTAATTACAAAAAAACATAAAAATTTAACTACTATAGCATCAAATACAAAAAAAAAAAATTATAAATTTTAATACTGTAACAAAAACTAATCCACATAGATAATTAAACATCTCAATCAACAATGAGAATAGATGCAATTTTGAGAAAATTAAGCAATGGAAATAAGTTATAACACCTTTAAAGAAATGTCAGTCTTCTAGTATCTATACAAAAATTCATCATCCTTCAATTAATTGGCATATAAGCATATATTATGTTTGTACACATAAAGGTGTAAATATATCCTAGACTGAGCTATATGCTACACAACAAAATGTAAACCTCTAGACCTATATACAACAGGTATTTTATTCGTGGAGTTCCATAACTATGTTAATTTGTGGTTAAGCAAGCTCCAAATGCTCTTTTGGAAGAATCAAATTTTTATACACTACTCAAAACGGACTTCTTAAAAACATAGTTCTTTCTAATGTTGTAACTACAACCCTTTATTCATCAAATAGAGGTTAATATATAACCTTTAAATAAGATGACAATTAAAAAAAATGGAATAAAAGACCTAGGAACAAGCAAGGAAGATTTCTAACCCCCAACAACACTTTTGATGGGATCAATTTGTAACGTCTCTAATGAACGCAATGATAATTTCAAATTTAAATGGCCTTAAACATCAATCAATGAGTCCAAATCAAGTTTAAATGAAAATTTAAATTGAAGAAACAAAACCACTTACAAACTTCAGAAGGCTATATCACATTTTTTTTGATAACAACAACGAAAAAAAGAAAAAATACCATGGAAACAGATATCTCTCCACTAAACATCTCATCCAAGGACGCTGCAAAGACGATCCGTGGTTTTAAAAACATATATTTTCCATTCAATTGCAATCAACACATCCTGATTCAGCACATGAAGAAATTTCCTTATTGTCGTCGAGGGTAAAAACAATAAAGATAAAATTCTAGTATGCATGTTTTTCTCAAGTATTCAAAAGATGACAGCGAGGGTGTTAATAATTAAATATTAGGAGTCGTTAAAGGGACAAGCAATACTTCTGTGTGCCAAGTTTCGTACCTAGGCGGTCGTGTGTGCCAAGTTTCGTATGTACACTTTATAGATATAGATATAGATGGTCTTCTTTTTTCCATTCCAAAAATTGATAGATGATGGAAATGTAAAAGACATTGAATGAATTAATGATGGGTAAATTTGCATGGATCCACTTATCCGATACAGAGACCCAGATTGTAGTTTTTTGAAAACATAAATTTCTTTACTTATTCTCGAAGAATGCAAAGACACTTTTAATGGAATATATATATTTATATGCATAGCTCGTTCAGTCTTCAGTACTATTCTTTTAAGTGATTGATAGGAAGAATTGTGGTTCCTTGTTGATTCGGGTCAGGCTTTGACTAAATATGTTTGCTGGATTTACAAGGCAAAGTATGAATAATTACACAAAAATGGTGAATGGTGAATGGTGAAGGGAGACAACCCCAGATGACCATCTATTTTAAATGTATACTTGTAATCATTCACTTGACACTTGAATGAAACAACTCTACAAAAATATCCCACTCTGTTTTACAAAAATATATTTTGAACCATACATATTTTAGTTTCTAAAACAATCCAATCAAGCCTACTGAGATACACTAAATCATTAACATAAAAGAATCAGAGATGCATATCAACACATATGAACCATTCATCTCTCAGTGAGGAAAACTAATTGAAACGTAATTGACATTATAATGCCCATATTCTGTTAATCAATGAAACATGTTATTTATAATAGATATAGCAATATCTGGCTAATGTAGGAGCATCTTAAAAGTTTGAAAAAAATTGAAAATATTTTTGATGGATTGGTTTGAATTGTGCGATTAAGAGATTGATTTAGGAACATCACTTTATATGATTAAGGGGCCTACATGGTGGTCTAAAAATGTGTAATGGGACAATTCTTGACCTAAAATTGTCAAATCCTTCATTTCCACATTGATTTTTTAACCTGTCTACATGTGGTTTTTATCTCTCTTAAAATTTGTCTCCAGAACTTATGATTACAACTTGATTTGATTCACGATTTATAAAAGTAAGATTTTGATTCATGATTCAAATCTTAATTTTATTTAACAACTATGATCAAATATAACATTTTTCGAAAGAAGGATGAGCCATCAATTGAGCATCATAGACAACAACTTCAAGCACTTTGAAAGGCTATATCACTTTACTACGTGCAAATCAGGATAGATGAATATTGTGCTGGGACAATGTGAATTAGAACAGATCCACCATAGTATGCTGGGGTATCAGAATGCAAAACCATATCAGATGCTAGAAAGTACTTGCCAGCTTGAAATCTAAAACAAAATGCAACAAATTGAAGTTCCATCACATGTTCATGTCTTACCACCACGTAGACCACCATAGATAAATATCAGGTCACCCACAGCAGCAGCGGCATGCCTACAGCGTCTTGTCAGCTCAACTTCAGCATCTCCACCAGCAGCATCAGCACTGTATCTGCCTGTCCTGGGAGTAGTAACAACAGATTTTGTATCGCACCAGACTCCTGCTGCAATATCCAGGACTAGACAAACAGAAACAGGAGATATGGAAGAAATTGATGCCATGAAGCTTTCAATAAAAAATCATAAATGAAACTGCTTCTAGTGGATAAAGTGGTTACACTTGACAATGGCTTTTTCATTTTTAAGATCAGAAGTGAAGAAGCTCTTGGTTAAATTCTTGATGAGGGTCCACTGTCTTTGGAAGAAGATAAATTTTTGTTAGAAGGTGGCACCCTGGTATGCAATTTTCAAAAAATTCTCATTGTTCTCATTTGGAATGCTATTGGCAAGGAGACCTTAGGATAAATTGCTAAAACAAACGAGAGAGGAGGATCGACCCATACGGTATAATTCCGAAGCGACTGTTGGCAGCAGGCAGAGACACATTACCCAGCTATTGATGTGATGTACGTCCATGATTTAGGCCATATGATGTGCCCTCGTGTTTTTAGAAAGTTAAAAATATAAGATTCTTGAATTACTCATAAATTTGGTTTCACTCAATGACAATGAGAAACTGGTCAGTTATTTCTTTTCTTCTAATAAAATCATATCAAAGGGAAAAAAAAGGGGGGGTAAATGCCTAAACATAAAATTACTAAGCCTAGTATCATCCTTCACTATGCTTTTGAATTGCAAGACAACTTTCCCAGGATATATAAGTTGTCTCATAATAATCAACAGCCCACCTACGACCCAAATGACCAATCTATATCTCAGCCAGAAAATTCAAGCTAACATCCATAAGTGAAAATTCCAATAGTTCAGCAACAAATCCAGTATATAATGATTTCTCTGCACAATCATATGTAGAGGAGGTCAACTGAATCTATAAACCAAATATTCTAGCCAACCTTCTGATCAGGTATCATATCATTGAATGGCAAATAAAATGTATAAAGCATGAGTTGCACTTGATTATATGACAGATTTTCTCTAAATAATGTGTATATAGTAACCATTTATTGCCATTTGCTACATTCTCGTCAGAAACCAATCAGCCTCACCCATCAAAGCATATAAGAGTTCACTTGCAGAACCTTATTTCTGTTAGATAATACCCACATCAAAAGCTCAATCTCAGTGCAAGTATACGAGCAAATATAAAGAACAAATGAACGTTGTGCATCGAGTAGCTTGCTGGTGTTCTTGCTTACCACAATTAGGTAGGCACTCCATCTTTGATTTTCAAAGGTAAACCCTTGTGTACTTAAATAAAGATCCTTGTGATTTAAAAACTGTCATATAAAAGTGTAGCTTTTTTACACCAACGATGTCAACATACTTGCAAGGTTTCAAGGAACATACCTGCAACACTTGATGAGTCCTCCACCATAAGTCCACCACCAAGTGCACCTCCAGAAACATGGAGCCGCGCATTAACAAAAACCTACAAGAGTGGAGCACATGTGAAAGATTGGTTTTCTAGCCACATAAAAGAAGTCAACAGTGGTTTTTTTTATTATTTTTTTTTACATAAAAGAAAAACTCACTGCAGCATGTTGATATCTAGGAGATGGTGAGACACCAGGAGCAATTGCCCATTCCCACCGACCATCTCTATGTTTCGCAAGTCCATATGCACTTGCCAGTGGCTGCAAAAATATTCAAAGAGGACGTAAAAGGTTAAGCATTAACAACAATGGAAGTGATTTATCTTGATATCATTAGAGAGAATAAATCATATAGATAAAATTGAAAGATAATGTTCATAGAAGATTATAACAGTGTGTTCAGAGCAAACATACTGCCATAAAACTCCACCAAAAACACACACATATGCACAACTACACATATATGCGTGTATTAGACATCATCTTCCAAAAAGTCAAGTCAACATGTAAAAAAATGGACAAAACTTAACTCCCAAAAGAAAAAAACAAATTGAAAAACAGAATAAAAACCCCAACAGATACAAGCCCAAGAACCCAAATAGAGGAAGTGATGACTGATGGTGATGACTGATGGGTGATGACCTTACACACTCAAGATATGGAACCCTCTCTTGGCTAAAAAGTCTCACACACCATCACCCAATCTGTTGGTGGCATAGAGTCTAATGGGCTAAACACACTCCAATTCAATTTCAGCAACTGTTTCATGTTAACCTTAACCAAATCTTACCTGATCTCGACATGGAAATAATGGGTTAGACCCATTCAATTCAATATCAACTATAACATTTTCATATTTACATTAACCAAATTTTAACTAATCTTAACCCTGAAGAAAATGTTAAGTTTCACAAATGGTAGAACGTGGGAGTAACTTGGACAACAATCTCTTCCCAAAGCAACCCCAAGGATAAACTATCTCACATGCATTCAACTTGACAATCCATCCCAATTAGTAGGACATGCATATTAAACCAGAACTGTACCAATTTTTTTTCTAATATATAGCTGCATGGCCCAAAATGAAAGCTCCTGAAAGTCAAATAACTGAGACACCATCAAGTAGACACAGAACAATGCCAAATTAACCATTCATAGACAAACTAAAATGAAAATTTTGAACACTCCAGGTTCTGCTCCTTGAAAGGAACCAAAATACAAGAGAATACAGATCTTTCAACGAGTGCTACTATCGGCTCCCCAAAGTAAAAAAGAAAGCCAACAACCAACTTAAGCGGAGAAAACATATAAAGGCAAAAAGTTCATCAATGCCCTAGAAAAACTAAACCGTTTCAGAATGGCAATAAGCTAGCTTAAGTACATGGCTTATAATATCTCAATACTTTGAATCCATCGAGCATGCAAAGAATACATTAACTTACCACACTATTAGCATCCCTCCCTCCACAGAGCAGAAGAAGACCATCAGAGCGTGCACTTGATGTTGCATACCTACTCAAAGTGAGAGAAGTAAATGATAGATCAATTAGAGAAGTCCTTAATAAAGTATACCATCAATGGAAACAAAATAGAGAACATTAAACAAAATATTCTAACAACCTTCAACACCAAATTAAAAACGAAGTGGTACTTTCACGTGAGCAGTGGCACTTTGTAGTGTACTTAGATTTATTCTCCGTCATCATCAAGAGTGTGTGTATGAGAGAGAGAGAGAGAGAGGTCCTTTCTGTGTGAGTAGTTATTTTTGTAAATATCAATTAATATGAAATAGTAATAGAGAATATACAGACCTTCTTGTTGAAGTTAGGAAGCTCATCCCGCAGCCATTCGCCCCTATGGCGCCTGAGTCTTCTAGACGTCATACCCAGGAGGGAGTTGAGAGTGGAAGGGTTTGCGAAGGCCGTCACTCGCTGCTGCTCGTCGTCATTCACCCTCGTCCACCCTCGTCATCATTCACCCTCGCTGCTAGCCGCCACTCGTTGCTCGTCGTCGTTCACCCTCGTCCACCCTCGTCGTCGTTCACCCTCGCTGCTAGCCGCCACTCGTTGCTCGTCGTCGTTCACCCTCGTCTACCCTCATCGTCATTCACCGTCACTAGCAATGCTGAATGCTGGAACCCAGAGGTCGAGATTTTGGGGATTTTGGTTTCAAAAGTTTTAGGGATTTGGGGGATTTTGCTTTCAATAGTATTTTAGGGATTTAGGGGAAAATTTCACCGCGAATGGGATAAATGAGCGGGTGAGGGAATTTTCACTTTTTGCGACGGCATATTTAAACCGTCACAAATGATAAATATGAGCAAATAAAACGACGTCGTTTTAACACGACATAGTTTGCAATGGACTTTTACCGTCACAAAATGTCCATTATTTGGAACAGTAACTTTTTCCCGTCTCAAGAAATTTTTTTTGCGACGGTACACCAGGCGTCGCAAATGCTCCTGAATTTTTCTTGTACATTTATTAGCGACGGGGTCACTACCGTCGCAAAAAGTCATTTTTGGCGACGGCAACACACGCCGTCTCAAAAAACCATTTTTTGCGACGGCACCTATACCGTCGCAAAAAGTTCTGTGTTATATATCCTGTTTTCTTGTAGTGAAAGAAAAAAGATTGAAGGTATATTTAGTTTTTGTTGTGAACCTTAAAAAAAACTAAATAAATAAATAAATTGAAAAATTTGTTAACATTAAATATATTAAAAAATAAAGAAAAAAGATTGAAGGTATATTTAGCTTTTGTTGTGAACCTTAAAAAAAAAATGTGGTTGTTAACATTAAATATAAAAAAATAAATAAATAAAAAATGGGGATTAAAGTGGGTTGGGGAAAATCCAAACTCATGAAGAAATGGGGAGGGTGGTACCCATGGGAAATGGGGAATGGGGAATGGGAAAAATTTATTATAGAGAAATGGATATGGAGAATTAATATCTATCCCATTAAATCCCATTGCCATCCCTATGTTCAAGTTATAAGTATTGTCCAGTTTCCGATTGAAGCTCAATGTACAATTAAAGAGAAATGATTTCAGATATTGATGCTGTAATCTCAAATGGCTCAAAATCCAGATCATCAACGCGAGTGATCAGAACGAGGTTTTTGGAAACAATCTTGATAACTTCTTTCTTATTCGCCACAATTCTCTTAGTCATTCCTTACCAATACAAAAATGGCAACCCTGTTCCCACCGTGATATTCAACAGCATCCCCTCTTCCTGGTTTCATGCATTTGTTGTATCGCTCGTGTATGCCTTCACCGGCGCCCTCACCGCTTTGTTAATTCATGACACCGCCGCCGCCTCATTTCTTGCCAGATTTTGTGAGCTTGTTTCAATCCTTTGTATGGCGTCGGCTGTGTCTTTGTTGGTTTGGTCCCTCTTCATTCTCAGTTTTCCAAAGCCATGTATGGGATTGGGAAGAATGTTATAGAGGTGAGAATTTTCTTTTCTTCTTTTTCCTATACTTTTTGACATTTTTTCAATTGACTCAAATTTGATCTGAATTTATAATTTTGTGTCAATTAATTTGTTTCAATTAAGTCCACTAATGACATCTGTTAGTATTTTTATGAAAAATGCATACGTGACTGACAGATGTCTTGTTTTTCAGATAAAATTGTTTTTATTATTAATTGAATTAAATTGACATAAAATTTAAAAATTAATGATCAAAATCAACTAATTAAAATTGTGGAGACCAAAATAATATAAGAAACAAAATATAGGGATTATCAATTTTTAATTTTTGTTTGTTTGTTTGTTTGTTTGTTTGCTTATTTATTTATTTATTTATTTGCAATTATTTTTGTAGCAACTCCTCCCCCAAAGCAGAAGTCGAAAATCTACTTACATATCGACTGATACAACACGTAACGGCTTATATTTGCAACCATGGCGGCTCGTCCTTCCCTCCCCTTTGCAACTTACCATCTTGTCTATGTGGGTTTTTTTTTTTTTTTGGATGATGAGTTTGAATTCAGCCTTGCCAAATTAGAAACGTTTGTCATTTGTTGGTGATATGTTGTCATCATTATACGGAATGTATATACATCCTTGAGGCTAGTTTGTTTGAGTGAGTGGATTATTAATATGGTGAAATTGAATAGCTTGAGTAAGGGATTATTAGCGTGCTGAGATTAAATTTATGGAATTACTTAAAAAATTTTATTATATATAAGGTGTCTGTTGTTTTGTAAATTGAAGAAAAAAAATAATTTTTTCATCTTCAATCTCATTGGATTAGATTTCAATACCACCTCTCTCATGAGATTACTAATTCCCTCTTTAAAGGAGATTCATAATCTCATGAGACTCTTAATCCCATAACAAATTTTCAAAATAAACATGGCCTGAGAGCTGTTTGTGGAGCCTTTTGAATAAATAATTATTCTTCTTCTTTTTGTATTATAAAATGCTTCTTTATCATGAAAAGCATTTGTTAATAAAATTTATTGAAGAGAGTATGGAGATATGTAATTCCCATAATTCAAATCATTTCAATTTCTTCATGTTGTGTTCTTGTAAAGAGATGCAAAAATTAGTTATGTATTTCATTTTATTCTTTTTCTTTTACTTTTTCTTTTTCTTTAGTTGAGAAATAACAAGTTGGATGAATTGTGGGGTACGAAAAAGAAAGAAAGAGAGGTTGAGGAAAGGAAGAGATCATTCTTTTACAAGTCTGGGTAAATAAAAATTGTAAGACCATCTCCAATGGTTATTAAAATATGTCATCAAATTTGAATTTTGTGAAAATTGTTCATTTTTCTGCTCCAATGGTTTCATCAAATAGGTATTAAATTCAGGATTTCACTTTTCTTTCATCAAACTGAAGACCAATGTGTCTTTCATCAAATCATTGTTCATAGCCGTTTGATTTTCACCAACGGATGTTCCCAGGATGACCAGTTCAAGGCAAAAATTTGTGAAAAAATAACATTTGTCAGTCGACCCCTCGGTCATCCTCCTGGTCAACAACTCGGATGACCACCTCAAGGTAAAAATTTATGAAAAATTTACACTGGACGATCGAGCAACTGATCGATCGACTGGACATCTGCCCAGTCGTCTGCCCGGTCGACCGGTGTTCTGATAAAACTTCAAAAACCTCTGTTGGAGTACTAGATATCAAATGAAACTTTTACTCAAATTTAGTAAAAAAATTTGATGTACCGTTAGAGATGCTCTAACTATAATCATTTTGAGTGTATTTTACATCTTACAAATCTTAAATCTACTTTACATATTTTAGGTAAATTACATTAAATTTTTTTAAACTATAACTTATTTGCATTTTGTTCTCCCTTATTTCAAAACTCAACCGTTTAAAGTATTATCTTGTTACACTCAATACTTTCCATTAAGCTTTTGTTAGAAATTTAAACGAAATCATTTCATAAGTGAAGTACATGATATACTTATTAATTTCTTAGGATAGTTATGATCTTATTGGGTGATCTCATTTGTACTTCACCTTCTTTATTTTCATGGCAAAGTACAAATAGGCTCACTAGATAAGAATATTATTTTTCTACAAATTTAGTTAGTATTTCATATGGTTTACACATGACTTAATTTTATGTAAATCCCTAACAGAAGAGATTAATTGTAATAAGGCAATATTTCAAGATGATTAATTGTTGAGTTTTGAAATTAAGAAAGCAAAGTGCAAATAAATCACACTTTAAGGAGATTTATTGTAATTTATTCAATATTTTATTTCTGAGATAACTTCCCATACAAAAATTCATTGTAGATAGCACAGTCCCTCAACAAACTAAGCCTACTCTAGTTGTTTGGCATGTAACAATTTTAGCCTAAAAGTAAAAAAGTTACTAAAAAAACTAAAAAACTTATAATCTATACTAAAAAGTCAAAGATTCTCATTTTTTCTCTACTTTTTGGACAGCCTTTTGTAAAAACCAAAAAATCATTCCAAATATGCTAGTTTTTTTTTTCTTATATTTTAGTCAAAAAGCCAAAAAATTAGTAAAAAAATTATGTTCCCAAACGAGGTCTAATCCCTAAGGAGAGAGATCATGAGTTCAACTCTCCCTAAATGGAGTTGAACTAAGAGGTCAAACACTTGGCCCCTTTACAAAGAGTGAAGAGTCTAACTCTCATAAATAATAATCTAATAACTAACAGCTGACTTTTGCCACAAAAAAAAAAAGAAGCACTTTTCCTCTAATTCAATAAATAAATAAAAGCGGTGACGAAAGAGAAATTATTTGATAGTCTTAGAATATTCTTTTACACCATTCATGTTATGATAATTGTCGTATTGTGTCTCAAAAATAAAAATATATCCTATTATTCAATTATATAAGGTAAAAGTTTGAGTTGTTGTCTTGAAATCATTTTTCTATTTGCCATGTGGATTTTTGTTTTTTCTAAATTATCTTTATTCATTTCATATAAAATCATCCATAATTCCATAACCACTTGACAATTAATTTAGAAAATAATAATTGTCAATTACTGTTGCTTGAAATTTAAATTTTTATTTTACCTATTGTACTCAAATATGATTCATTATGGATCTTTCATTTCAAAATAAAATATTATTGAATATGGATTTATTGTTACATTATTTTTGTAAAGTTTTATGTATGAATTTTATATATAAATAGAATTTACCTTATTGAATAGAGTGAAAAATCATAACATTTGACCTAGTGATTGATATGAGGTCTCCGATTAAGAGGGTCTTGGTGTAATTAATCCTTATATTTTTAGGAGTCATCTTTTAACTATTTTCTTCAATAATGTTTTCTACTCTTCCTATTTATTAATTAGATATTATATTTGACTCTTTATTTTTGTTTTTATTTTTAAAAAAAT